TAGCAAGTAAAGACTGTGAACCACCAGACTACAACCGTGGTGTAGGGAACATTCTATAGCAGGTAAAGATTGTGAACCACCAGACTACAGCCGTGGTGTAGGGAACATTTTATAGCAAGTAAAGACTGTGAACCACCAGACTACAACCGTGGTGTAGGGAACATTCTATAGCAGGTAAAGATTGTGAACCACCAGACTACAGCCGTGGTGTAGGGAACATTTTATAGCATGTAAAGACTGGGAACCACCAGACTACAGCCGTCTGCGTAGCGCACATTTTATAGATGGTATAGATATCAGATAAATGTATCTTTTTATACTATGGGATATAAATGTAAGTGATCATCCAGCCCTAAAGCCAGGTAAAGGTTTTGATAATATGACAGTATCGGCCTGCATTATCGTTCAAAATGACACAAAACACAACAAACAAACTTGTCAGAAGCCTTATCTCTGCCTTATGACTCGGCTCAAACATGGATTAGAAGTCCCATGGTCATTTCAGTATGATATTTGACTAATAGTAATATTTTGACATATTTTCAAATCTACTTAGATCTGGCATGCAGTAAACTTTATCAGTGCATCATATTATAATGTTTTTCAACAGTATATAAATGACATTTCAAAGTTAGAATTTTTCTGAAAGTCTGGAAATGTTACCATATGAGCCAAACAGATCAGAAATAGTTTCACTTTAATTCAGTTCTTCATGAATAATTATTTTTTGCATCATAATATTAATAGTCTCAGACAGGCTGCCAATACGTATAATTCTGTTGATTAAATTTCCAGGTGCCAAGAGTGATCACTTACTCTCCCCTGACTGTATTCCTACTGTGTTTTCTCACACCAAGTCACTCCAGAATACACGAGCAGCGAAGAATATGACCAAATTTGATACACGCCAGGCAATGAAGTCGTGAGAGGTAAATGGTGGTAACGACGTGACTTCGCTTCTCACGACATCGTTAAATAATCCGTCTGCCAAAACGTACGGGTCGCTTTGTAATCCCGCTAGTTTCAGCTTGTGCAGGTGTCGCTGTCGATGTTCTCCCTGCAGATGCTTAACATCTTCAGATAATGTTAGTGACAAAGTATCCTACATAATTTATCAACGTGGTATATCAGGGTATCATAGATCAGTGCTTCTCAACTGGGTGAATGGTTCACCCAGGGGTTAATGAGATCCGAATCTGGGTGAATGAGTATTATCAATTATACAACAAATTCAAGAGCAAAAAGTTATTATCATTTATTTTAGTTGTAGTTTGATAAATACATTTATTTTATGTTGTATTCGTTGTAGTTGTATATTTAAGTCATAAAAAAGAATTTTGCATTTTAATTTAGTACTTTTTTTGTCTTTTTTCAAACTGGGGCTGAGTGAGCTGTTGTGAAAAACTTATAGGAGTGAATGATACTGGAAAAGGTTGAGAAGCACTGGTATAGACTCTAGCGTGACGTCCAAAATAATGGACAAGCATGCGTCACGTGATTTTGGTCACGTGCCTGCAAAAGCTCAATATGTAGCTAAAACAAGCAACAAACAAATTCTGAACTATTTCTCAGACTACTATTTCTGATTTATTCAATAATATATATATATGTACGTGCACAAATACACACATAGACATAGATATGTATTACATGTACACGCACACACATATACAAATATGTATACACGTACACACATACGCATATACATGTATTATCTGTACATTAATATATATTATCTTTACATATTAAAGTGTTTCTTCATTACCCATTCAAGCCGTCTCCAGCCATTATTTGTCAAAGAATGCATTGGCAGTTCTAGTAAGTCAACTATGTACCGCTACTATCCATTGTCAGTTCTAGTAAGTCAACTATGTACCGCTACTATCCATTGTCAGTTCTAGTAAGTCAACTATGTACCGCTACTATCCATTGTCAGTTCTAGTAAGTCAACTATGTATCGCTACTATCCATTGTTAGTTCTAGTAAGTCAGCTATGCACTGCTACTATCCTTTTTTTCAGTTCTAGTAAGTCAACTACGCCCCGCTACTATCCATTGTCAGTTCTAGTAAGTCAACTATGTATCGCTACTATCCATTGTCAGTTCTAGTAAGTCAACTATGCACCGCTACTATCCATTGTCAGTTCTAGTAAGTCAACTATGTATCGCTACTATCCATTGTCAGTTCTAGTAAGTCAACTATTTACCGCTACTATCCATTGTCAGTTCTAGTAAGTCAGCTATGCACTGCTACTATCCATTGTCAGTTCTAGTAAGTCAACTATGTATCGCTACTATTCATTGTCAGTTCTAGTAAGTCAGCTATGCACTGCTACTATCCTTTTTTCGGTTCTAATAAGTCAACTACGCCCCGCTACTATCCATTGTCAGTTCTAGTAAGTCAACTATGCACCGCTACTATCCATTGTCAGTTCTAGTAAGTCAGCCATGCACTGCTACTATCCATTTGTGGAATTAAGCGATGGTCTAAGCCTTATAAAAACACAATGTCTGCGTGTCACGAGAGACAATAATCTATAAGTGAGAACACTGTTGCTTTTATACCTGAGTCAATGTACCCACATGCTTAAACATGCTGGAGATCTTTTTCTATCCGCAGTTGTTATTGGTACGCGTGTTTGTTTTTCAGCAAAAAAGGGCACCACTCCATTTTTATAATTCAGTATTTATGAGACGCTGAACAATATTATACTGAACTCTGAAACACTGGACAATGTCATACTGAACTTCGAGACACTGAACAATGGCATATGAACTTTGAGACACTGAACAATGGCATATGAACTTTAAGACACTGAACAATATCATACTGAACTCTGAAACACTGGACAATGTCATACTGAACTTCGAGACACTGAACAATGGCATACTGAACTTTGAGATCTTGGACAATGGCATATTCAACTGCTGATTAGTCGTGCTTGATCGCTGTCTCAGAAGCCGCAGTCTTTAGACCTGATGTCAGGAATTTTGACTGTCGGATCTGGTAGATGCACGCGAGTGCTGACCGTTCTGACTATTTCCGTCTGTATTGAAACTGTTTACACATTAGAATACTATACATAACTTTACTGACAATCTATATTCGTAAAGCTGTGAAACCGACTCCGCTCCTACGTTTCATTGTATTAAAACAGACCAAAGAGCTTACTTTATCATAAACAACCCAATATTAAAACCTTACATACAGAGAAGTAAAGTTTGACATAACACATTCACAAGTAAGAAAACACTAATTAGAACTACTCCCATTCCTCTTTAAGATAACTGATTACTCGGAGAAATAATCCGAGGAAAATCAGCAAATATCTATCTAACATAGTTCATTGTGGAAACTGGCATGATCTGATGGTTAGGACGGTCGACTCGAAATCTGGGGTGGCAGGATCGAAACTCATTGTCGAACATGCTCGCCCTTTCAGCCATAAAAGCGTTATAAAAAAGAGTCATTCCCAGTTTTCGTTGGTAAAGAATAGCCCAAGAGTTGGCGGTGGGTGGTGATGACTAGCTACCTTCCCTCTAGTTTATCACTTTTAAACTAGGAAATGCTAGCGTAGACAGTCCTCGAGTAGCTTTGTGCAAAATTCAACAAACAAGCAAACAGTGCTTTATGGAGACGTGATTGTTCACCTCATTGTCCAATATCTGGTTAGCTTTTTCAGCTGTTCTCAGTGCTTATAAAGGAAGAAACGGGTCTTCCTTTTAGATTTTAGGCAACATAGCTGGTTTAGCTTCCTATGTTCCCATCTTAGCTCATGGTCAAGGTGAGCCTAAGTTGTAAGAGACTGGTGACTGCCTAAATTAGTCTGAGTTAAATGTCATTTTATGTCCTTAGTAAAGTGGTCCAGTAAATTGATCCACCAGTAACATCATTGCATATATTTTTTTTTCTTTGCATCACCTCATGCCAGTAACAGAGGGACCATAGGCCTAAAATCTCTATAAAAGTGTTCTAGCGTAGTTTTCAGTGGTTACTGCAAGTGAGGCTGTGTGGTACAAACATAATGCATACAACGTCCTGCTCATAATGTGTACGATTTACGTCAGTTACATGAAGAGTGATGGGAAGCAACTGTTGGTCCTTTTCAGCACTATGCCATCTCAACAGGTGAGTTATCTTACCAAATACCAGGTGGCAAGTAAGATGGAGTCCTATCATCTGCAATTCATCTGTATCTTACAGACTGAACATGTCTTCCTTTAACTCCATTGCAGACATTTTCAGACTGATATTAATGCGGACACCACTGAGAATGGCAACGCAGCAGTGTTTGATTCATCTGTATCTTACAGACTGAACATGTCTTCCTTTAACTCCATTGCAGACATTTTCAGACTGATATTAATGCGGACACAACTGAGAATGGCAACGCAGCAGTGTTTGAAAGACTGTCCAGTTTCAAATGATTTATATGTTTCTTCTGCTTTACTTGCGATGACTGGTGTCTTCTCTTATGGCTCCTTCACCTGAGTTGCTACATTATTTCCAAAATGTTTTGGCTAGTCTTAGCCTACAGCTTGATTAGCTTATCCAGACTGTAAATCTCAAGGTTCATAGTTCTTTGTCAGTAAAACAACGCACTCCACGCTTTGGCCCTTGGATGCACTATAAGCATAACGGGCAATTCCACTTTTTTGATTAGATTAGTAGCCTAAGAGTTGGCAGTGGTTATGTTGATTGGCTGTCTTTTCTCCAATCTATCAGTTCAAAATTAGATACGGCTAAAACACACAAAATACAATTATTTTCCCTGACCTTTTCAGAGTTTACAGACTTGCACATTAAACACTGACACTCCAACTTGTCCTCATAAGTCTGCCTAATTAATACCACTTTATCTTGCAGCCTGGTGAAAAAGGATAATTAAGTAGATGTTCAATTTGACTAAAGTTTGAGCGGCAAATTTCATACCCAGTTTTGCCCTTAGTGAAAGTCCAACAGATCCGATGAAAATCTACAAGTAAAAATGAACTATCAGTCCATATTGGACTTTCCTTTTGAAGCTCTTGTAATGCACTTTAAATGTCTTACCTTAATAGTTTTGCAAGTTATTTAACTGCACTCCTCCATCTTTTTTTCTGTTGAAAACGTGGAAAACATGCACAAATTTGCTGCAAATGAAGAAAATCTCTGTGAGGATCTTCAGTAGCGTTCGATTTTCAATAAAATTGTTTTAAGACAGGGGCAGTGGATCATAAGTGAGGAAAAGTGGCAGAAATGGCAAAGCAGTTGCGTCACTTCTTGTTCAAAACAGCACATTTCACAGTAGAGATGTGGTTAAGGTTTTACTGTCTGCATTTGGTACATTTAATGAATGAAACTTAATAAGAATCTCGAATTTTGCTTCTACGGAAAACCATAATTTACATTTTTCGTTTCTGTATTTTAAGGTACAAAATTATAGTAGTAATGGAACACGGTGATATTTTTAATCGACTTAATATTGTCTTTTAATAAATATATTGCAATATGACTAACCTGAGCTAAAAGTTATATTATATCTTTTTTTTCTCTCTTACCAATAAAAATGTTCTTTATAAAAAAGTTTGACTTTCTTTTACTGCCTTCTCAATTTGTGTGAATGGTACTATACCAATATTAATCATCGCGGTTTGCCAAATGTGAAGCAGAAGACAGTGGATCTTCCTTCCCTGCATTAGATTGTGATGCTCGAACTCGCCAACAAATACAATGTTGGATATTTTTGCTGCTATGCAGTTGTAGAAAGTGACAAATCTTCAGACATCATTATTATAGTACCTTACTTTGTTTTTTACTTTGGAGAGCAGTGACCTTCCCACAACTGTCTGCAAGCAGTGAAGGGTGATATAAATATGGGATGTGGTGGGCTTGAGCACCTATATCTCGCTCTCCGAACTTGAATTTCTCTTGATGATTATATTTGATTTTTTATGAATTTCTTCATGTAAGACTGGCGAACGGAGGTTAAGACTGATAGACAGTGTATCCCTAATCACAGTGTGGGTCTTACTTCCGCAGTCACCTCAAACCCAAGTCACATTTTATATCCCATATTACAGTCTGTGTTCTGGGGGATCCTTTTAATTTATGCAGCGTCTTTAATTTAATTTTTTGTTTGTTTCATTTATTTGTAGTTAAGCACAAATCTACGCAATGCTCTCTGTGCTCTGCCCACCACGGGTATCAAAACCCGGTTTCTAGCGTTGAAAGTCCGCAGACATACCGCTGTGCCACTGGGGGGCATTTTTTGTTTGGTTCATTTAACTGTAATTTACCACAGGTTTGGATTTGCTGTTTGATTTTATTTTGCTTGACTGTTGAAGTGTTAATTTTCTCTCTCTCTCTCTCATATATATGAGTTATATGTTTAACGCTTGTTTTATCGTAGTTGTTAGTAGTACACTGTTTTTGAGTTCTAAAACTGTTCTTCATATGATTCAATAGACTAAAGTTCACAGACATTTTTATACCTAAAGAGTTATTCGTAATGAGCCATAGTCGTTTTGACTAACAATCCGTTCCTGTTGGTAATACGTTAACCATTACAGCCTCCCTCTTTCCAGAAGAATACTTTATTAATAAATTCTTCCAGATTGACTAGGAATCCGTTCCTGCTGGTAAGACGTTAACGATTACAGCCTTCCTCTTTCCAGAAGAATACTTTATTATTAAACTCTTCTAGATTGACCAACAATCCGTTCCTGCTAGTAAGACGCTAACGATTACAGCCTTCCTCTTTCCAGAAGAATACTTTATTATTAAACTCTTCTAGATTGACTAGGAATCCGTTCCTACTGGTGAGACGTTAACGATTACAGCCTCCCTCTTTCCAGAAGAATACTTTATTATTAAACTCCTCTAGATTGACCAACAATCCGTTCCTACTGGTGAGACGTTAACGATTACAGCCTCCCTCTTTCCAGAAGAATACTTTATTATTAAACTCCTCTAGATTGACCAACAATCCGTTCCTGCTAGTACGAAGGCAAAGTTATACTCCAATTAATCCCATTTGTTGACAAATCCAAACCTAACCTTAAACTAATATCTATAATTGGTACTCTATATTGTAATAAGCCCCCCAGTGGCACAGCGGTATGTCTGCGGACTTACAACGCTAGAATCCGTGTTTCGATACCCGTGGTGGGGAGAGCACAGATAGCCCATTGTGTAGCTTTGTGCTTAATTAGCAACAAACATATTGTAATAATGCTGCTTTGGTTGAGAGTATTAGTAACAAGATGTTAAAAATATTGTATAAGAAAAGTGTTTATCGGGATTGGACTAATAACTTTATCGTGAAAATGAGCGTTTTCAGTTTATGCTTGCATCGTCGTGTAGGAAAACAGGAGAGACATTTCAGAAACAAACTTGTTTTTAATATATATGACCTATAATTTTAATTGTACAGTTGCATGCTTTTAATAAAAGTACTAACTCAGAACGTAGAATGTTCCAGTGAAAGGCTAGTCGTTGCTTAATAGAAAAAGTAGATTAATTTGTATTCGAAACTTGTGCTAATTATTTTAATATCACATTCTATTCAGTCTGTACAAAGTAACTGAGCTAGAATTACACTGCGTTCATTCTATATAAGAAAGATACACTTTCTTTTTCATAAATATTTAATCGAATTTCTACTATGGTCGGGACGAATTTAACTTCAGAAC